TAGAAGTGACAGTGTAGTTAGAAATATGGTTTGGCTCAAAATCAAATTAGTTTTTGACATGAAGTAACATTTCGATACTAAAATGTTTTAAAAATTCATGTTTCCTTGTCAAAATAGAAAATTAAGAAATCAGAAAGTATTTTCTAGATGAGAATATCAAAGATGAAACGTAGAATCGCAAAATGATACGAAAGAAACTGTTGTGAAAATTGCAAATGCAAATCAATAGCTATGCATTTTTTATAATCTACTGCTCACATTTTGACAATATTTATAAATTGACAGAAAAAATATATCTACAAAGAAATCAAAATGGGTTGTTATATCATTCATGAATGAACCCAATTAAATATAGAAATTGAAAAGGCCCGTAATAAAAGTATATTTATCTGCCGTTGATAAATTGATGGGTAAATCACTGTATAATTTATTTGCCGCTGATTGAGGAAAGATAAAGCTATTCATATAATAAAAGGCGAACCTGTTTTTTTTAAACATCATACAGAAGCTGTGTTATCATTTCCATGGTTACCGCCTTTTTTTTTGATAGTCATCCTCCATTAAATACAATTGGGCATGACAATATTTTCTTTTATAAAGTAAGTAACATCACTCTGTTTGAATGTTTACGTTCATTCAACTTATATTTTAGCCCTGCTGGGAATGATTAGCCATAACGTAAGCCGGCAAAATAGTGCTGGGCCAGCCTGCACATCTTGCAGTCTCAGACCACACTCTTGTTGCTAGCTCAATTTTTGTGTTTTGTATTTGTGTACATGCTGCAGCATATTATATTTGCCCCAGACTTCATGCTTTTACTAGAAATGTTTTGTTTTTTCTATTTTAACACCAAAATGATCATTTCCTTTCATTACAGCTTGGCGGGAGTCTTTGATAAATAAAAGGCTGTAATTTTGAGAACTTATAAATTTAATTAAACCTAAAACACTTCCGCTGTTTGTCTAATTATCTTGCTGCATTAATTACCAGTATATTTTCTTACCTATCTATAATACATAATTTTAACTACATTTTAATAATTTCTTCATAACTGAATCAACGGTCTTCCGTTAATAATCGGAAAAAAGAAAAAAAGAAATCTTTTAACAACCTGGAATCAAATCCTGTTATAATTAATACCTTTTTGTACATTTTTAAGTAGTAATAACCCAAATAACAATAGAGACACCAAAAATGTTTTATACAAATAAAACCATAACAGAGAAAAAGAGCTTGAGGCCACACACTAATAAAATATTTTTTCAAGGCATTCTTTTTAGTATAATTGAAAAACCAGTCCTTTGTGTAACTAAATCATGACTAATTAAACTGTCAAATTGAAAAAAATCAGTGGTTGTAATAATTGAAAAATCACAAAGGATTATTCCAATCATGTCAACTTAATAATACATACTGGAATAATATCTTTATTGCAAATAGTCAAATATATATACATGACAAAATATGACTCACTAAGACAGCTCCTGATTTTTGGTTGATTTGTGCTTTTTTATTATATAAATGATACTCATATGAGTAATTAAGGAAGATTATTATTGAAATCAGTATAAATGTTGTTAAATGTACAAATATTAAAAGGAGCAAGATCTGAGTATCCAAAAAAAATTGTCATTATTTTGCATAAAACTTAGTCACATATTGTGAATATTTATATATTTCTCAAATTTTAAATATCATTTTTCTTCAGCTTTTCCCCTCATATATATGACTTAAAGTTCTGTGCAAAATATTAAATGAGAGGTTATTTTTTTTTCCATCAGCTGAATGCGGCTTCTAAATTTAATATGAAACTTTAAGAAGAACTATTAACATTCTAGTTTGGTTCTAGAATCATTTTGTTAACACTGACTTGTGAACTATTCTTTCCTGAAATGGCAATATTTTGAAAACAATAAAAAGACCCGTTTTTTTTTAACTACAACCTCATTTTGATAAAAAGAATATGCTTTTTTGGCAAACTTTGCATTTCAAAAAAGATGATTATAATCAAAAGGCTTTTTTTATAAAGATAAATAAAGCAGATAAAAATTTTTGCTGTCTCATTCATTGTCCGTCTTCAAAGAGTTAACGTTTTATTCAAACATACAGTCCTATCAGCAAGTGTTTCATGCAATAAATGACATTCTTTTTGGTCGCTATAAAGGTTGAAAATTGTTATCAATTTTTGAATTGAGTTCCACTGATCTGTTGGCGACAAGAAGTATTATAAAAAATCCCCTCACGTGTCATTGAAAAACGGTTTGGTCTATCAGTATATAAGATTGTGGCCGTCTTAGTTTATATAAAACGGGCCTTTGAATCACTCACTCCAACAACTGTGGAATTCGAACTACGATCTTACATGATTTGTGTTTGTGCAATGTCCGAACCTAATAGAAACTATGAAGTTATCATCCACCATGGAAATGTTTAGATTTGATATCATTGGTGTCAGGCCACGAAAACATATCCATTAACTTTTGTAAACATGACTGTATTTTACCATTAAAGTCACCTGTATTTACCTATACTATAGCTCTAATCTTTCCTGTTTTAAAATTCTAACACTTAACCTTACCTGTATATGATGAAATTAAAATACTTCAAAAATCTTAAGCCTTATTTAGACATTTTTTATACTGATTGTTTGAGGAATTTAAGTTCTGAGTTTGAGACTGTACAAGAAATATGTATGCTGCAGGTCTGTAATCAATTTGAAGCACCATTATTCTTATACAAGTTTAAATATTTAACAACGAAAATCTTGAGAAATCTTAGAGAAATACTATTTAAACAAACCTGTCAGTTTAGAAACATTGGAGAAAAAAAAAACATATATGCAGGCATTCAAGATAAATGAAAGTTTAATTCTGAACCGAAATCCCCCAGGAGTTAGTTGAAATGTATCTCTTTGATAATTCTATGAATGTACTAAAACCAGTCTGATCCCTGGACAGTCAATGACAACAATGGTGAAACTTAAAACCCTCCCCATAAACTATAGCACCACTTTTGTGTACCCAAGCTGATAACCTACCCTAATAAAAGCATGTGAAAAGGACCGAACAAGATAAATGGGATAAAATAATCTCTGCTGGAATTGAATCATATGATTGCATTATTATTTTATCAAGTCAACACAACAGGTTAAAACTATTCGAAAACAAAAATATGTACCCCAGTTATCAAAATGGGCACATGAGTTTACATTTGTGATTTTTTTTTCTCTCTAGCTAAATGCAGGTTATGTATGGGGTTTGGTAATTTCCTTTGTTGCAAACATGTCTATGTCCAATTGATCATCTATGTACAAATAAGCATAAAACATATTTTGACATTTATAAAACAATTAATTTAAGGTATGTACACCAAAGTTTGATTAAATATATGCTTTGTAATCTCTTTGATCTTTGAACACCTGTAATTCGAAGAACACCTTGAATTCGTTATTTGAATGCAATGTTCGCACAAGAATGTGCAAAAAGTTTAAAGAACAAATATTAATCAAAAGGTGCTGGAATTGTATATCAGTATAAAAAATATATATAAATATATTAATTTATGATACAAGTTTTATTTTAATATTGTTTGTTTGACCATTAGATTAGAATTCATATTTCTAATATATGCTTAATTAAATAATTGATTAATAGATCATAATTTATAGATTTTATTAATATTGATTAATAGATCAATCAAATATAAATATACAGTATATACAAATTTATATAATATCTAAATTTAAAATCATACGTAGTGAGACAATTTATATTAGTAAACAAATTTCAGCTATGGGTTTGGGTTTTTTTTATTTTTTTTTTTTTACACTTTATTGCCTTTTGCATAATTACATTAATTCAGCATGATGCTTATTTTTCTGCTCATCTCAAATAGACCACATGATACATATATTTAAACTGATAAAAATTAGTAAATGACTGAATGACATAGGGAAAGATTACAAATTTGATAATTTGTATCGATTAAATTTACACTATTTTTGACTAGATCTTGATAACGAAATTTCATATGGATGACACAACTAATTGGAATGGTCAGATATCGGCCTGAGGGTTGGTATATTGATAAATTGGCTGTTAAAATAAGATATTTGTACCAATTATCACCATATTGAAAACATATTTTCAGCTGATTCATGTATCATCAAATGATTGAACATAATTTATTCAATATAGAATGAATGACATGTAGGTAAATTTATTAGCCAAAATTTATTCTGTAAAAAAAAAATTCCTTTGATGTTGTAACAGAAGACAGCCTGGTGTCTGTCTATATTTAATAATGTGAGAAAAGCTTTAGAAAGTCATCTATGCCAACAACATATAATAAGGGATCAAGTCATCTATAGAAATCGGGAAAAATGAAAATCTTTGTATTTTGTCACACTACAAAACTGTTAAAAATTTATGGATTTAATCCTTATTTGCATAAATACCATACTTAAGGACAAGTAATAAAGTTTGCAACACCTTGCATAGGGATAATGCCATAAACTGTCTACTTCTTATCCATAAAAACTGCCAATTTTCACGATGATTATCATACATTAGATCCAGAAAATCAGAATTTAGCTATTCAAAGGATAATTGCATGAGAATACACCAATAAACACATAGTCACATATATCAGCAACATTGAAGTAAATGTTCATTTGCATAGCCAATTATACCATATATATTCTTTGTTATTGTGTAAAATAGGTTAAACAAAACCTCGAGGACTTCAATGCTTACCAGGGATCTTCTCCTTTCCAGAATAATTTTTGTTGTTGTTAAAAGTGGTGAAAAATGTTTATTGTAGGGGAAATCATTTCCTTTTTTTGTGTGATAATTATGTTTTGTTCAAATACCGGTAGGTTATAAGAAAGTAGAGAACTTTACAAAAAGGTGTGATTTATGTAACTATAAGGTGTGAAAATTGTTCATTGAAAGGCGATTCATTTTGTATTTGTGACTATAAAAAAATTAATCTCTACTTACAACAGTAACTGTGGTCCTTGGCATTGATCCAATTGTCTCCACTGCATAAATCTCCACTTCAAATGAATCGCCAACAACTTCCCTGTCGAGAGATCCAACAGTTGATAAAACTCCCGATGTTTTATCCACAGAAAAGTACCTATCAACTTCGATTTGTGTATTTGAATGAGTAATATTGGTCACATAATATTCCACTGGTGAATTTTGACGCGAAGTAGCTTTTACACGTAAAATACTTTTGCCAGGAACACTGTTTTCTACAACAGTTCCACTATATGGGGCTAATTCAAACACAGGACCATTATCACTATTTGCTACAATGATGGTAATAGCAGCTTGGGTTGTTCTTTGACTAGGTGTGCCATAATCGTTAGCTTGTACAGTAACAGAATATTTTACAGGCGTGTTTGGTAAACTGTTGGTTAGCAGAAGGCGTCCAGAGTTACTGTCTAAACTGAATGCATTTGTTCCAGATTGCGACAACTGCACTGAAAATCGGCCATTATTTCCACTGTCTTTGTCTTTAACTTTAATGGTGGTGATATATTCGTTTCTTGGAGTTGAAAGTGGCACAGCTATAGCATTAAATGAAGTTACAATAGGATCATTATCATTGACATCCTGGATGTTAATTGTTACAACGGTTTCCGTTTTGAGTCGTCTGCTAACCTCCTCAGCTTGGTCAGTGGCAACAACTGTAAGCTTATATAAACTTGTCACTTCACGATCAATTGGCTTATCAATATAAATCTGTCCAGAATTTTTCACAATCTTAAAATTTTCTCCAGGTGGATCCTGATACGCGATATGGTACTGAACTTCACCATTTTTACCAGAATCAGAATCAGTTGCTTGTATCTGTGTAACAGAACCGCTTGAGTTTTCCTGAATTGTAATAACGTATGGCTGATTCTGGAAAACGGGTGCATTATCATTGACATCATCAATTGTTATACTAAATCTAATGTAATATGTCAAAGCTGGGATGCCTTTATCTGTGGCAGTAACATTCAGTTTGTAGCTTCTCTTGGTCTCAAAGTCGGGTTTTTTCAGAAGGTACACCTTTCCAGTGTGACGATCTATTCCAAACATTCCGTCATTATCCTTTCCGGACAAATGATATGTGATTTCTGCATTTACGCCGATATCTACGTCAGTTGCTGGGAAGTAGGCAACTTCACTACCAGGTTCTACATCCTCAGAGACACTAATGTCCATTTGTGACTGGGCAAATAGTGGGAAATTATCATTAATATCACTGACAGAAATCTGTACTTTACAGGTTGCATTATGCCTTACAGTTTCACCAGAATCAGTGGCTAATATTGTCAATTCGTAGAAGTCCAATGTTTCCCTATCAAGCTGTTTGTCAAGAGTTATCTGCCCTGTAGTTGGAGAAATAACAAAATGTCCATCTTTGTTCCCAGCTATGATATTGTATGTCACAATGCTATTAATTCCTGCATCTGCATCGTCAGCCTTTACCACAGTTATATTAGAAAATCTTGCCTCGTTCTCAAACTTAGTAACTTTGTAGACTGGTCGCCTGAATATTGGTGGGTTATCATTTTCATCTTGAACTGTAACACGTACAGTAGTGATATCTTCTAATCGGTTAAGTCCATTATCTTTCACCACTACATCGAATACAATAACGTAGTTGCTCTCTGCAAGTTCTTCTCTATCAAACATCTTCAGTGACGTAATTTCACCACTTTGTGGGTCCATATGAAAGTCATTTTGTGCATCTTTGAAGGAATAATAAACTTCAGCATTTCGACCCATATCATCATCAGAAGCTCTTACATGGCCAACAAATGAACCAATATTCTTGTTTTCCAAAATGTAGAAAGTATAAGTTGCATTTAGAAAGATGGGCTTGTTGTCATTATAGTCAGAAATATGTACGGTGATGTTGCACTCAGAACTTCTCTGTTGTGCACCATGATCACGTGCAACAACACTCAACTTGTACAAGTCTTTCGTCTCCCTGTCAAGCTCTTTCGCAATATATAAATGTCCATCAGGAAATATTCCAAATTTTTTATCTTCATTTCCACGAGTGATATTGTAAGTCAGCCTTCCATTGTCACCAAGGTCATTATCTACAGCAATAACATGAAAAAATCGACTGTTCACTGGATGAGATTCTATCAGGGACATTTCATATGTGGTATGTGAGAATTTTGGTGTATGATTATTCACATCCTTTATCTTGAGGCGTAGTTCTTGATTTGCAGTAAACTGAGGACTTCCTGCATCACTTGCTAGTACAAGCAATGTCACATGATCAACACCAAGATATTTTACAGGCTTATTCAAAGTTAGAACTCCAGTATCAGATTCTATTCCGAACATGTTGTTTTGATTTCTTTGTAACGAGTATGATAACTTTGAGTTAGGACCTTCCTCGTCAGCATCTGTGGCACTTATCAATGCAATATAATGACCTACAGCCCAATTTTCAACTACTTCTATTTCTCGATATGGGAATTCAAATACTGGTGGGTTATCATTTGTGTCCTTCACAGTCAAAACAACTTCAGTCTCTGCAAATTTCTCGCCAACTTTAGCAATCACTTTCAGATTAAACACTGGGAATATTTCTCTGTCTACTCCTTTGCTTCTTTTAATCCATCCTGTTGATGGTTCTATTGAAAAGATATTTAAAGGATCTCCGTGAACAATGCTGTAACTGATACTAGATGCTGAAGAATCTGCTTTTGCAGTCACTCGACCAACTTGCACACCTATGTATGTTGGAGAATCGGTCCCTGAATCTTCTATTAGATTAAACTTATATGAGTTACTGGTAAAGTATGGTTGAGAATCAGTTGGTGATTGGACAGTGACTTGAACAGTTGCTGTTCCTGATCTTTGGCCTGTCTTGTCCTTTGCAACAACATCAAGTCGGAAACTGCTTTGAGGGTTTTTCTGAAGGACAGCTTTTGTTCTTATGGTCCCTGTTATTGGATCAATTGTAAATTTTCCAAAATCACTACTGCTAAAGGCATAGCTTATTTCTGCATTTATTCCTTCATCCAGATCAGTTGCAGTGACCTTGACAACTTCAATACCACTTGCTTGACCTTCAAAAACTCTTGCAAAATATGTTTCTGGATAAAAAACTGGAGAATTGTCATTTACATCCAGTACTTTAAGATAAACTGTTGCAGTTGAAGTAAGGGTAAATGGAGCAGGGGCTTTATCTTTTGCAATAATTTTTATTGTATAGTTTGGAATTTCTTCCCTATCTAATAACTTTCGTGTAGTAACTTCCCCTGTGTCAGGATCAATATGAAATGTTTTTGGGTACATCAGTTCAACATGTGGATGAAATTCATAAATAATTGTCCCATTCTGTCCAGAATCATTGTCAATAGCAGAAGCTGACACAACAGGTGACACTTTAGCTAGATTTTCCTCAAGACTAGCATTGAAGACAGTTTGTGAAAATTCTGGCGCCATATCATTTTCGTCCCATATTGAAATTTGAAGTTCAGCATAATCATACAATGGTGGAGAGGCCCCATCATGAACAGAAATATTCATGCGAAAGTAATTTTGTTGTTCATAATGTAATTTTGACTTAGTAGTCACAAGACCTGTATCTTTATTGATATAAAACCACTGTGGATCGTTTCCCGAAAGTATATCATAAGTCAGCTTGGCATTTATTCCACTGTCAAGATCAGTTGCTAACATGCTTTGTATAAAAGTACCAACTTCAGTCATCTCACTTATTGAAACCGTAACTTTTTTGTCTTTAAATTGTGGTGAATGGTCATTGATGTCATTAACAAATATTATCAGTGCTTTAGTGGATAACCTTGGAGGATTACTATTGTCACTTGCTTCAACAGTAAGATTATACATATGGTGACGTTCTCTATCTAAAACGCTGTCTCCGTTGACTTTTACAAAATATATTCCTGTGCTGAACTGTTCGAGTCTGAAATGCTGTAACTCGTTTCCAGCAATTATTCTAGCAGTTGGGTTGGCTCCATCATCTGCATCTGTTACAGACACTCCTGCCACGATGTGACCATCCATATCATCTTCTTTTATGCTAGAAAAGTCATTTCCTTTTGGAACATACCTAAAACTGATGACTGGGTCATGATTGTTGGTATCGATTACCGTGATATATACAAATGCACGAGTGCTGAAAGATGGCACACCTAAATCACTGGCTTCTATTATAAGAAGGCACTGGCCTTTAGGGCAAGACAGTGGTTGCTGAGTGGTATAAATCTGCCCTGTGACATTATCTATGCGAAACTGGGAGTTACCATTATTTTCGTCTGCAATGCTGTAAGTAATTTCCTGATTTACTCCAATATCAAGATCTAATGCAATTAGCTGAATAACAAATGTTCCACTTTCATCTGTTTCATTGACTTGTGCAAAACGTTCGCTTGGATCAAAAACTGGTGCATTGTCATTTTCATCATCAATTACTATCCTGACAGATGTTGTACCAGTTCTCTGTGGAACTCCAGAGTCCTTCGCTTGTATAGTTAATGTATACAAACTGGTCTTTTCTCTATCTAAATCTCCAGTTGTTTCGATGATCAAAACATCGCCATATATGTCTGGGTTGAAAACTAATTTGAAAGGACCATTGCCGTTTATTATTTCATACTGATTAACTAATGAATTTATACCATCATCTGCGTCAGTAGCTGTTACCAGTAAACCTTGTGTCTCCATTTTAGCATTTTCTCGAAAATGAACTGTTGCTGATTCAGTTGGAAAAACTGGTCCGTTGTCGTTTTCATCTAATATTTCTATTGAAACCTCAATTGGTACATTAGTATTTGTTCCATCAGTACTATGACCTAGGATTAAAAAACTAAATTTATTTTCTTGTAAATTTAATTCCTCTCTATCGATAATATCTTTTGTTGTTATTCTGCCACTGTTTGAATCTAAATCAAAATAATCTTTTGCGATTGAGCCTTCATTAATGCTATATGTATATGATGATTCCACAGAAATAAATCCAACTTCTGTCCCAGGCGCTTTATTTTCATAAACCTGAAAATTTCCAGGTCCTTGTCCCTGGGCAAATTTAAAGAAAAACTGCAAAAGTAATATAACGCAGGGTAAATATTTTTTTCTTGTTACTGATGGCCCCTTCCTCCTTAATCCACACTCCTTACGTAAATCTCCCATATTTTTCTCCCTTTCTTTTACAGAGGTGCACAATATACACCTGACCGGCGGCTAACATCAAAGACTACAAGTTTTACTATAATTTATCATGTTTAAAACATTTAATCCAATCTACGACTGGATTAATTCACATCTGAAATTCCCTATGCCGACGATAAAACAGTAGCGTCCCAACAAAAATGTATATTCCTTCTGTAAACACTAAGATCCCTTGATCAAACGTTTCGAGGGTCCAGGTAAACACTAATTCACCTGTATATACGCGAAAACTGTGTCCAATAATTTTACAGTCACTTTTCTTTTGTTTAAATTCCTTATTTTGTGAAATTAAATGTACGTACTGAAAGAATATTTAAAAATGTCTCTTATCACTAAAAATTACATTATTTTAAAACTTGAAACAGTTAAAACTCAATTAAAAATTTCACTCATTCTTCTTATCCGTCCTCGCACGTTTGTTTCCAATACATGTTATGTGACGTCACCAAATCCCGCCCTATCGAAATGATTGACAGCTGATCGCGTTCATTGAAAATCATTGCAGGGACCATCTCAAAATTAAGCTTTACCTTTTACAAAGTTAGGCGAAATCTAATTTGCAACAGTCGCATACGAGTTATCTTTCTTGCATTACTTTGCGTAGAAAACAAAATATTCCAGCTTGCATTGACAAAATCTAGCTGGTTTAATTTATGAAATAATAAGATTAAGAGTTATCATGTCAACTTTCATATTTATTGTTAAGTATTGTATTCACTGTGCAAATAATAAAACAATTATAAGTTGAATTAATGTTTCAGTTTGCAATATATAATAGTGATTGGAAGCTATTTTAAAGATATGCTTTGTAAGCACAATAACCAACGTACACATTGAATTGCATATTCTTGCAAATAAATGACACAGTGATTCTGTTTCTACACATTAGTAGGCTGAAATATTTTGCGTCTTAAAACAGAAACTGTTTGAAAGACCTGTTCATTTGTATAATTTCAGTACTTAATCAATTACAATTTAACCATATTATCATTTTTAGAATTTAGAACCACCCATATTTTAATCCAGGGATTTTGTTGAAAGTAAAGAATCTATGCTATATAGGTTGGTGGTACAGCACATTTTATAAATTGTTGGCTTTTAAATGACCTATTTTTTCATTATTAAAAAAAAAGAGAGAAAAAAATACCCTTAAGATTACATCCGGACTGCTACACACAGCCTTTAGAATTATATTCGGACTGCTACAGACTTTAGAATTAAGTTTGTGCTGTTGACTTACAAGAAATAAATAACAGGCCTGTATCCCATTCATATATCACAGCCATTGGCTTCTTGCAGTAAATCATGGTAAAACTTTTCAGTTAAGTGTTGTTTTTTCGGTACCTATCAACAGTAAAGATGCTATTTACAAGAGTCATTAGAACTGCTGAACAAGTTTGGTCTCTTTAAAGTTGAATAGCACCATACAGTACTGTCAATCATTACTATACAGATAGCAGCAGAATATATAGTCAAATGTGGGCCAAATGTTTTGTGAGGGTCATTCAATTAGAACTGTCACTTGGTTCAAATTTTGTATCTGCTACACTTTATAAAAAATGTTTTCTATTTTAAACCTTCAAAGTATTCCCTCTCTATCAAAATACATTTTTGTAATCTCTCTTTGTCCAGCTTTAAAAAGCTGAAATTTAATCCTGACGCAAACACTGATAAATTGCTCTGCCAAAAGAACTCCTGGAGGTATATATCTTTTACCAGAAAACATTATATTAAGCCTGGGAAACAGAAAGAAGTCGCACTAAGTCAGGAGAATAAGGCAGATGGTTTACAACTTTAACATTTTCAGATGCCTAGAAAGACTTTGTCATGTATAAGATAGACTCCTGATCATCCTTTGCTTGTGCACTGTAAAACAACTTCACTTTTTTCAGTACAGAATTCTTGTAGAACTGTCCAGTGACTGTGTGACCAGATGGACAAGGCACTTGAACAACTGGTCCAAAATACATGTATATTCCATACAACATCTTTTTTGTGATGGTCCTTTTGCCAATATAGGGAAGTTTTTTTGTTTTTTTATCTTCCTTCTTTGAGGCTCAAACATATGTACCCAAGTTTCATCACCTGTCAGCAAGTTAGAAATAATCTATCACAGTCTTTGTATGTTTTCAGAAGTTATTGGGTACACTTTAGTCGCTTTATCTTTTGCTCCTTAGTGAGCAAATGGTGTACCCACCTAGTGCAAACCTTTCTTAGACCAAAACACTTGGTCAGAATTAAATGAATACTGCCTTCTGATATGCCAGTATGACTAGCTTTCTTCTTTACTGCAATCTTACATACTGCTCTACTATAACCTTTACACTTAACTCTTCATACCATATGGTATAACCTATATATACATGTACATTACCTCTGTAACCTAGAATTTGGAGCTATTCCTTTTTCTCTTACAAATATTTTTTCATTAATGATTCATTCTTTACTGTGACCTTGAAACTAAGGCCTGATGACTGTGTCGTGAATATTGATATTCTTTTACTGGATGTTTTGAATTTCTTGCGTCATGTATTTTTCTTTCCCTTCACGACCATGATCATAAAAACTAAGACCATGAGTCATGCATATCACACATTATGACCAGTCGATTGTCTTTTAGGAGTCTGTGGTCGAGTGTTTGAGGTTGTCGACTTCAAACCACTTGCCCCTAACCATTGTGTGTTAGAATCCCCCCAACCCCAGGGACATTGGATTTTTTCATGTGAGCTATTCAGATAATTTGCCGAACATCAAGTGCTCATAAGTATCTATAACATTATACCTGATGCGTTCCTGGAAAGTCACCAGTAAGCTAGCTGCATGATTTCCTCATATGAAAGAATATGTTCCTTCCAGTATTCAAACCCACAGTAGTAAGCACTATGTGAATTTAAGTCTGCAACTTTATCCATTCAATTAGAAGGACCAGACTAAAATTTGTTTTAGTAATCTCTAACTTGTTAATAACAAGATTGCATTTGAGAAAAATGCTATGCCACCGCATTAATACAACACTAAATAGTAGTGTAGGAACAGATTTTTTTTGTTTCTATACAATTTTGAAGATTGTCATAATGCATAAATCCCTGACCTATCTAATTCTTATTATCAGATTAGTGGTTAAATCTGTTGTTAACTCAACAAAAGATCAGAGTAGGAATATATCAATGCACTCGAGTCTAGTGAATTTGGTGGTGAAGGTCATATTTCACACAGCCTAATTTTCATGACTACATCAAAGGACAACACAGTAAGACACCTTGTCAAAATCTAGGTCAGCTGATATCAAAGTTCACTTTACATCTTAATCTGTGCACATGGTTCAAATTTCATAGCTGTACATCAAAGGACAAGAAAGTAGGTCACATCATCAAAATCTAGGTCACCTGATATCAAAGTTCAACTTTACAACTAAAACTGTGCACATGATCAAAATTTCATTGCTGTACATCAGAGGACAAGAAAGTAGGTCACTGTCCCATTGGGCAAGGCAAAAATTTGGACCCAAGGGTTTAATTCAAAACAATCTTGATACAGGTCCATCAAACAACATTTCAAGTCAAATATCTAAGCTGTAGCTTTCTCCCATTCAGAAAACATTTGTTTTATTTTCTGTTTTTACTATGTGTACATAATGAAAATCACTGCCCCCGGGCAAGGCCAATTTTGACACCAGGGAAAAAATTTCACCAACTTTGGTAGAGGACCTATAGATGATATTATATAACAAACATCAAAGCTCTATGCCTTGTACCTTCAGACAAAAATATTTTTTAATTTTTTACTATATGTACATAATGTAAATCAATGACCCCCGGGACAGAACCAATTTTGACCCCAGGGCTATAATTTGAACAATCTTGGTAAAGGTTCACTTCGCAAAGTCTCATGCCATATATTTAACCTCTAGCCTTTGTCAATTCAGAGAAGAGGATTTTACAATTCAGAGAAGAAGATTTTTCAAGTTTTAATTTTATTCTTTTAAGGAAAACTATCGCCTCTGGGGCAGGGCAATTTTAACACTAGGGACATAATTAAAACAACTTTAGTAAAGGACCCATAGATGATGTTATATACCGAATATCAACGCTCTAAGCCTTGTACAAAAAGATTTTTTATTTTTTTACTACATGTACATAGTGAAAATCAATGACCCCTGGGGGTGGGGCCAATTTTGACCCCAGGGCTATAATTTGTACAATCTTGCCAGAGGTTCACTACATAATGTTTCATGCAAAATATCTTAACTCTAACCTTTGTAAATTTAGAGAAGAGGATTTTTTAAGTTTTTACTATCTACATATAAGGAAAACCTATGGCCCCTGGGGCGGGGCTAATTTTGACACTAGAGGTGAAATTTGAACAACTTTGGTAGAGTACCTATAGATGATATCATTTAACAAATATTAAAGCTCTTTTTTACTATATGCATATATTGAAAATCATGACCCCTGGGGCGGGGGCAATTTTGACCCCAGGGCTATAATTTGAACAATCTTGTTAGAAGTTCACTTCACAATGTTTCATGCAAAATATCTAACCTCTAGCATTTGTCAATTGCTAAAAGAAATTGTTTTAAAGTTTTTACTACATACATATAAGGAAAACCAATGACCCCCGGAGCGGGGCCGATTTTAATCCCAGGGCTATAATTTGAACAATCTGGGTAGAGGTCTACCAGACAATGCCTTATGCAAAATATCTAAGCTCTAGGCCTTTTGGGTCTTTACAAGAAGGTATTTTAAGTTTTTACTATATGTACATATAGTGAAAATCAATGACCCCCGGGGCGGGGCCGATTTTGACCCCAGGGCTATAATTTGAACAATCTTTGTAAAGGTCTACCAGACAATGCCTTATGCAAAATATCTAAGCTCTAGGCCTTTTGGGTCTTTACAAGAAGGTATTTTAAGTTTTTACTATATGTACATATAGTGAAAATCAATGACCCCCGGGGCAGGGCCGATTTTGACCCCAGGGCTATAATTTCAACAATCTTGGTAGAGGTCTACCAGACAATGCCTTATGCAAAATATCTAAGCTCTAGGCCTTTTGGGTCTCTACAAGAAGATTTTTTTAATTTATTCTTATAATTCCTTTTGGTTGCCATGGCAACCAGTTTTCTGCATGGAATGAAATTCTTTGAACAACTTTGGAAGCCCTTCACCCAAGGATCAATCCTGCCAAGTTTGGTTGAAATTGGACAAGTGGTTTTTCACAAGAAGATTTTTTAAGTTCACTATATAATCTATATAACACACACACACACAAACAAACAAACAAACACACACACATACACACACACAGGTGAATCGCTATATGCCACTGCATCGCAGATGCTGCGGTGGCATAAAAAGAGAATCTTAAAAGGTTGCTAAGCACAGTAAAACTAAATGTATCACATTCATAATTTTTTATGCTTTCGAATCTTTTCAAACTTACGGTCTCTCCAGACTCAAAAATTGCAGACGACACATAAATTGAAGATGCAAGCTACAATAATCATATTTTGAAATAAAAAATTAAAACAATATAAGTTTTTTAGTTTATTTTATTTCATTAATAGTCACAGCTTCGAAGCTCAAAGAAATTAAAAAAAGTAGATAACAAAAGATTTCCCATAAACTCAATAAAACACATTAGGCATGCCAATAAATAAATAAATAACACATATCAATATGATATCACATAATACTTGTAATATGTTCATATATTATCACATGTAGCATGATAATTAAGGTGTTACATCCACTAATTGCTTGTAAAAATCAGCCAATTAAAGCACTAGTCAATTGAAACCACTGCCAATCCACCCCTGCTGAATGATTGGGGCTTTGACCATTGGATTACCAAACCCTTGTAACAGCACCACTCTGCTGGGACAGTCAGAAAATAAAATTGACGCTAAAGACTCAGCACTGTGACTTGGCCAAATCCTTTGCCATTTTGGCGACAAAATAACATTATTAACCCAGCTGTTAAGGGACAGATGAGAGTTAAGAACTCCGTTCATCGTTCATATACTCCATTATCCTTGCCCTTGCTGGGGAGTGGGGGAGTGCATTATATAATGTATTTAACTTGTTTGATTATTAGAGATAATTGGCCTAGAATACCAGTATAGGGACAGACCATCCTATTCTGTTGGTCGCTCAATTTTTGTGTTTTGATATTGAAATCCCTTCAACTTTGAATGGGCAGTTCCAAATTCAATGTGTGACAATAATCAAGGTAAAGAAGAGGGATGAATTTTAGACACATTTGAGTTGATCAGACATATCTAGTAGTGACATTATTTGCTAAAATTTCTTACTAAAAGAATGGGTATTAACTTAAAACTTTTACTAGCATTAGATGGATGCAACACCTTTGACAAACAAAAATATAATGCATAGTAATTAACAATATACAGTGAAACTATGAACATGTATTTTACATTATCAAAGCTGTATTTTTGAGTATTGAAATTAAAATCCTTTAAACTTTGACTGGATTGTTCCAAATTAAAATTAGGGCAGATCCATTAGAAAAACTCAACAGATAAAGGACCAAATGTCAGTGGAGAAAAGATAAAACATTGATAATATGCTAAAAAAATTCAATTCAATTATTTTATTGGCTGATTTATATAGAGGATATTTGTTTAGTTCAGTGTAAGATCGGAATATATTTCACCGAGTGAGCACCAAAAGGTATATTTCACAAGTGGCGCAGCCACGGGTGAAATATGAACTTTTGGTGTTCACAAGATGAAATATATTTCGATCTTACACTAAACTAAACAAATTTTCTTTTTATTACATGCAAAAAAACGTTTTAAAAAGACATTAAATCTAATACTGAATGAAAAGCGCGCCAAAAAATAATACAATGTGACGTCATTTACGACGTCACGTCATTAAGTTGGTACCCTGTACTGTGCACGCTGGTATTTCACTGAAACAACGTAAGGGGCTTAAATTCAAAACAGTGAAATTATCAAAGTGGTAATTTCACTGTTTCAAACAGTGAAATTACCAGTTTTATATCACTGATATATTTCTATAAACCACCGAAAAGCATGTAATAAATATGTTTTAATATATTCATTTTAGTTTGATAACGTTGAAAGCTTGAAGCTTATTTTCATCATTAATGCCAATTAAATAAGTTTGACATCATAATTAGAAGCATAAATCTGTTTCTTGTAACACCAGTAGAGCCTGAACACAGACAGCACAACATAGCAACAATGACGTGGTGACCTTGTGCTTAAAGTGCCTGCCTCACAACCCAGGTATCCTAGGTTCAAGCCTACAGATTCTTAAAAGGTTATATAAAGGTTAAAAACAATTTGTTGACAGCTTAAATTGCCATATATAAATGGTTGTAGCAACATGCCTAGCAGCTTGGATTATTTATGCAGGTTATATTATGCAAGCAACCATTTATATCCAGCCATATAACCTATCAGATCTTTATAACTAGTAATTAACAATGATGTGTTTGAGAATATCTCAAATATAAAATGTATCATAGACACAGAATATGTAAAACAAATGTTGAAAAACATGTGCAATATAATGCTCAAAATGGGCAAACCTCACACTGAATTTAGTCTGTCTAGATCAACCCCTATCAAATACCAAAATGTTATAGATGCTTTTCACATAGCAATTATAACCCCCCCCCCCCCAGGCCATCATTTTAGGGGACATTCCAAATATATCACATACTTATGATAAGATAAAAATCTCTCATAGTTCTAACATCTTCATGAAAACTGATATAAAATCTTTCACATATTGGTGCTATAATAATATTTTGCTGCATATGTATAAAAGAAATCCTACAATTCACTTAAATCAGCTGTATATATATTTTTTTCTTCATATTTTAGCAATTATATTATATAGAAAATTTACCCCCAAAATCGCTGCAACTTTTGGCAAGGGAGGTAAAAATATATTTAAGATCGGGAACTATCTATACTCTCAAATGCTGTTACTCTACAGATGATTTACTATATCTCACACAAGGATATAGATGTCATTTACGATGTCAAAAGTACACTATTTCTATTTAACTTTCCTAAAAAGTTTGCATAAGATTCAATAAAGCTGTTATAAAGTATATAAAGGTAAATCTGATGAAATATTATATAGAAAAATTAGAAACAGTAAAATTATGTTGTTTACATGATCTAATGGTCATTTCTTGAAAGATTTGTTGCATAAATTGTCAATGTAATTTAATATACATGATTTTTGTATGTAAACAGAATAAAATGTTCCAGAACAAAATATTTTGCAGCTATTCTTAGTTAAGTAAGTTTGGCAATACATGCCATACTTGCCTTCAATAAAATATGCTGACAAATTTCTTCCATTCTAGGTATACTGTAATCATTTTAATCACAAAATAAACAATAGTGTTACAATCTATAGACAGCAAATACAGAGTCTTTTATAATACTGCATGTTTTTTCAATTTATGAAGAAGTCTCACTTTTTTCTCTAAAAAAACAGTTTTTGCAATATAACCCTTGCCCAGTGGCTCAGGTGATATATACAACCAATTATATAAAGCCATTTAACATGTCAAAAGTCTTTATAACTAATACCGGTAATATACTTTAAGGTGAAATTATATCGAATATTAAAAGACAAATATATGGTAATTATAAAATCACAATTTTAAATAATCTGGACATTGTTGTCAATCATGTACATTCATTTACACAAATTCTCATTTCATATTATCATTTATTAGTGTATAATATACACATTAGTGTAAAATATACACTAATAAACTGTAACATGCCAATAAAGTGAGCCTGTGGCAAACTTTATAACATTTCTGGGAATAGTCTAAGGCAATGCTATATAAAATGGCAACCAATATACCATTCTTTTCTACCACATGTTATACATGTATAAAGAGGAAAAGGAGATAAAATCATCGCATGATTCTCTACATTTAAAATATCTTCACCCTTTGACTTCAAATAGAGTTGATGATGTCAATAAGATTTTTTTTTTATATATCAAACATGTATAATATAAAGAAATAAGTAATTGCTACATAACACTGAACACAACAGAAGCCATGTGATAATGTATAGTTATATGAAACTGAACATAAGGCCAATATAGGTATCCAAATGGCTAGGCCACAAATTAATATATAATAGAATAATATATATATATTTTCCTTTCCTGTGATTACATTTCACATTAAGTCTGTAACATCTAAGATAAGTCTAATAAAAAGACATAGTCATAACATTTAAAAAAGGTCATAACATCTAAAAAGTAGTCATTTCATTACAAGAGGAAGAACTTCCATTAAAGAGGAAGAATTTCCATGCAAGAGGAAGAATTTCCATGCAAGAGGAAGAATTTCCATACAAGAGGAAGAATTTCCATACAAGAGGAAGAATTTCCATACAAGAGGAAACATTTCTTTACAAGATAAAAAGATTACCGTAACATACAAGATGAAGAACAATTCAACAAGAGGAGGAACCTCTAACATGAGGAAGCACTTATATTGTAAAGGAAGAACTTCCATACAAGTGGAGATACTTCCTCATTAAAACACATTTTGGAATGACAAAATGGAAATTTTCTATGTCAAAACATGTTTTTGAAAACACACAGAAAAAGTTTCTATGAGAATGCTAAATAATGGAAGTACATATCAATATTTAAATTTGTTCTGGATGAACATTGGAAGAACTTCCAAACCAATATGGCATTGGAATGTAAAATAAAGGAAGAGCTTCCTTTTCAAAATATGATCATGATTGAAAAAAAAGGATTTTGTGTATACTGAATGTTAGTTGCCATTCAAAACAATACATAGTGGCTGGCTTTGTCTTTGCATTAGATAGGGAAATAAGTATTATTGTAAACAAATTGTTTACATAATAATAAATGGAAGTCTTTGCCAGGATAATTTTAAAATTCATGATGCAGTCTGAACAGACTTGATATTGTTGGCTGACTAACTTTGACAATTTCATCATGACATCCCTATATGTGAGACAATGGACTGTTTCAAAATGGAAGTTGGACAAGTCCATTTAAGAAAATAGGATGTTTAGGATCAATAAGCAACTATCACAGCATAACTATTAGCAGATGATCTGTGTTTATGATTCAAGCAGTCCTTGTCTGTATTTTCAATCATGTATGAATTCTTCTCCATAGTAATTGATCACCCTCAGGTCTTTTTTCCTTCGAACCATGTCTACAATGAGGTTATCTAGTATCTAAAAATAAACAAAAACAATATTTAACAATATTGAGTATCAGTCAAGAAATAAAAGAAATAATTTATTCTAATACAACCTCATTTTTCGCTACTGAACATAGAAGAACCGAAAGTGTGTGTAAATATGCAATAAAATCACTGCTGATGATCTATTTTTAGACATGTGATGTAAGTATTAAGAATGCGCTGCAAATAAATTCGGAAACAAATTAGGAATAATTTAGCTTGATAGCAGGTATGGCAGCATTTACTTGTTGATGTTGAATCAAAATAATATATCCCAAGCAGTGATGTGCAGCATTATATTACTCAGGCTCCCTTGTGATTTAATTCCTCACATCCAAACTCCAAACAGTGATTCTATTTAGTGATTAAATCACTGTTCGTGATATATTATTTATATAAGAGCTTGTGTTCACGAGTAAAATAGAAATTGATCTGAAAAAATAAAAAGGAAACAAATTTTCTACTGTATTCGTTTCATGCAATTTAAGGGTTTTAAATAATAGTTAATGAATTTTTTCCTTGTAATGACATGCAAACTGATTCATGACGTCATCAAATCATGATGTCACATTGCTTTTCAGAAAAATAACTCTGTAAAATTTTACACATTTTTGTAACATTTTTAAAACGATATGTGCAGATATTCATTTGCCTTTTGTAATCAAGAACATTTTACACACAACAGAATGTGTTTTTTTTATGATATTTCCACTTATTTTAGATAATTTCAGTCTACTGTAAAGGATGTAATAAATAATTATAAATAACTTGACAGTTTTCCAATCTACAATTAATTGTTAAACAATAACCTTATAACATGCTAGAAACTGGAATAAACAGAATTTTAAAACTAGCATACCTTATTGCACTGTCTAAGATCAAGGAACTGCAGTCTAGTCATTTCCTCCGGTACCCGGGATAAACACTCCCCATATATTTTGTCTATACCCAAAATGTCCAGGCTCTCCAAGTTGCTGAAAGTAGACAAACAAAAATTTTATTTAATAATCATTGGAAATAGAATATAGTACATTATATCTCATTGACCTGAATGGAATATAGTTTATATCTCATTGAACAAAAGAGAATGTATATAATATCTCTTTGATAGGAAAATGATTATCACATTTCACTGAGCTTCATAGACTTTGAAATACAAATATATTTCAAATATTCTCATGGGCCTTCATAGCAAATGGAATATAAAATATTAAGATGTGTTTTGAAATAGACAAATGCTCCAATCCAAAATCAATAAATAAGTTAGGGTGAAATTTTCAGAATTAAATAAAAAAAAGTCCTGGTCATTTAGTGGTCAAGATCATATTGGTCATAATGAAAACCTCATTCACATGTTACATTCATGTAGAAAAGACTGTAGCTTATTTAATGAAAATGTTATGGTCAAGGTTAAAGATGCCAGCTAAATAAAGACAGACTGACAAACAGAATAAACACAACGACTACTTATAATATATACATATTCTATTTTTCTACTGATTAGCTAAGAATAAAACAACCAAACTGTTCTCAAAAAATAATGTCTTAGTTCATTCCAAACTCCCTCATATTTTTAACTGAAAATTACACTAAAATTCAGCTTCAAATATCAAATAAGCTATAAAACAAATCTGTTCTAATTATAAAGCAATTTAAAATGCATGTCGTACTCGAGACCATCTTTGGAATGATTTAATGCCTTATTATTTTCAAGATTTACTGTTTAAGATAACATCCCTATATTAGATATTGAAAAGATTTATTAAATATGAGCCAAATTTTTCTTTCAATAAACGCTTTGCTCCATGAATTTAATTGACATTGGCGTCCATTTTTTATTATGCACCTAGTAAATTATACACGCCTTGCGTCATTCTATTATTTATTGTGATGTAAAATTTGACAATAAATAAAGCAAGTTGCGATATGAAATTCAGGAAAGGGCAAACAAGCATTTTATCTCATCACCATTATTTTTAAAAATTTGCATAACAAATGATTCTTTTATATTGTATACAATTATGGCTATTGAACAAAATGATACAAAACTTCAGTTCATTTATTCATTTTTTATTAATCTGGGACAATTAAAAATAATCTGGTCTCTCTGTCATTGATCTTATTTACAATCAAACTTGACCTTTGTCATAATTTACTTTCAAAACTTTCTGTCCTAGATTATGGGAATTCTTAAAAGAAATTTAAAGGAAATAATTTTCACTGGAAAAAAACTACATTAGTATTAAGAAAATTTTCAACTTTATTTGTATTTTGTTTTATGTCAATACAACTCCCTTTGAGATATATTTTTGAGGGCTACGGTATTAACATAACAGTTGTAACTCATTTATGATAAAGATGGCGCTATGGTATTTTAACTCACTAATTTCTTAATTGCATATAGCTTTCACTTTATGATCAGTTGTACTGATTTGAGCATAAAATTCAAAGAGTTATGACCCTTTTTATGATCGAGACGTCAATTTGGAACAGGAAGGGATCTAAGTACATATATACCAGCAATGGTCCACTATAGAAATAAGTCCTGTATCTGTCAGGAACCAACACCAACTTAGGGACAAATCACGCAGCTGCTTGCCACACCTACAGATAACAAAGAAAAAATAACATTTTATAACCAGACAGAAAAGTTGGCTTGCTGCTGCTGTACCAACTATTTATACAGAAGGTAAGTGTTAATTTGTGGTTCGCAGTATATTTTTTTATAACATTTACAATTTAGCGTGCCATCATCTTTTTATATAAGGTAGTATTGACAAAATTCAACTGATCTGTTAACAGACACTTGAGTGTCCTGAGCCAATATTTCAAATTAACCAATAGCAGGCCACAAGGTTATAAAACTGTTTTTTTCTGTGTTCAGTCTCAAATATCCAGATTTTCATTGGTCAGTGTACATTCTGAGCTGTTTTCTGACCAATCAAAAACTGGCATTAAGATTATAACCTGTTTTCCTCTGAGCTCTGTTTAGAATCTCAGGTTTTTTATTCGTCTGTATACATTCTGTGTTAGTTTCTGAACAATTAGATACCCGAAATCTGAGTTTGAGATTAGAACATTTTCATTTAACTTCAGACCCTAGAGAGATATCAGTTTAACCTAGATATCAGTTTAAGGTAAGAAATTTTCTTTATAACCCTTAACTCTGATGCCAAACTGTTAATTGAAAGTCATCCCTCAAGTTTGTATCCTCTATTATTTTGTAAATACTTACGCTTGAGCTAAATCTAAAATCACCTCATCTGTAATCAACGAGCACTCGGAGAGATTCAACACCTGTAGTTTAGACAGAGATGCCTCCTTAAAGAAGTTGGAGAGACCTTGTGGAGAGAAGTCACTCCCTTTACGCAATCTGAGATTCACCAAATTCTTCAATTCCTGGAAAATAAAATAAAAATAATAATTTCATATATCAATACTCTAATGACAAATCAAACAAGGTTTTAACTTCTCTTATTAATCTTCAAAGCTGAGTTAAATAATTAAATCTACAATTCAAACTTCAAAAAAATAAATTTATAGTACAAGAAATGTATTGATAGGAGAAACTTTGAATGTATTATGCAAAATGTGACCAAATCTACTTTTTTATTTCCAAAATTCTAATGAAATGAGAATACGCCAAACTCTTTGTAATATTTTGACGTGGCCTCTATTGATGTCATGTGACAATAACATAATTTCCTTTTTTTTATTGTTTATTATTTATTTATTTATACACGCTAAAGAAGCCTGTTCAGCCGAAACATTGGTATATTAAAAGGAGTCTTATTTTTTTTAAACTATATTTTTTATAAACTATTTAATGAATTAAGAGAAATTTCCATATATGCTGACAAATTAAAGGTATTTTTATGGATAGAAGGACTCTAAGGCTAGTTTAATCCCTTAATTTGTACACTTGATGATAATCTCATTTATTTAAATAATATTCAAGCCTTTTTCTACAAATATTTGCTCAAATCTGGAAATGTGCCGCCTTAACCTGCTTCTCTAATTTTGACTTGACAAACATCATTTTGAAAAAGTCCATTATTAACCTTCAATTATGATAAAAATTTGGATGCTAATCATCTTATTATATAGGTTCTGGTAAAACTGCACATGTTTTCCAGTACTACACGGGTTGAAGATCAACAGAAATGTTCTACTTCATTGAAATCATATTACGGCCTTGCATGTTTTTTTGATGAGACATCATTTGCGATATACAAAGCATTACATTAAAGGCAATTAACAGGATTACTTTCAGTGTAAGCGGTTCTTATGTTGGTTATGTGATAATAGAATATTATATTCATATAGATTCATTACTAAATTTACTGAACTCGTTAAATAAAGTAATATTATACTCGCCAGAGGCTCACATAATATTATTTTATACAACTTGGTTCAATAAATTCAGTATTGAATGATCTACACTAATGTTATAATATCCTCTATTTCTCTACAGAGGTTGTACAGTATATTTACCTTTAGATATTGCAGTGACTGGTCAGTGAGACACTCACAGAATGAGATACCTAGATGTTTTAACTGTTTACAGTGTGACAGTTGCTCTACACCCAAGTCTGATATTTCTGCCCCATCTAATTCTACCTCCTCCAGATACAGATAATGCTTCTCCACCAACCCTTGCACCGCTCTGGAAAAACATAACAAGGGACACAACTTATGTTTACTTTCATAATTAGCAGATTTAATTCAAAAACAACCAAGAAGGAGAAGAATAAGAACTTGATTCTATCACTTTTTTTCAATACCTCTTCAAGTTGGTACAGTCAACACAACTTAAGACGATATCGCTTATATTTTAAGTTATAAGGATAAACTGCTTATAATGATTCTGTTGCCGCGGTTCCGACTGTTGTTTTCAAATTGGTTGCTTCTTGGTTATAACATATGAATTTGGCAGTCCATATCGTTTTAAGTGGAGATTACTGTATATTTCTATTTTTCAATCAATAGTTATTTGATATTACCTGCCAAAACATGTAAACCATTTTTTAACACTACATACACTTCACGTTAAAGGCTAAAATTTGTCTCCCTTTAATGAAATATCTGGTTATACAGATAACTTTTTCTATTTTTATATTTTATATTCATAACTTGATAAATTTCATAAATGGACTTGTCCAGCTATGATTTTTCGGACTATCCATTATTAATGTTGAAGAAAACATTAGATAAAAATTTAAAGATAGTCAGCTAACAGTAAAGACCCTGATAAAACTGCATGAATACTGACTCTATACTGGTGGCAAAGGATATTCACTTTCTGTACCAGCAACTGCCAGGTAAGGGCTAAAATTAGCCTTACAAATGCTGGACAGATGGAATTTTAGTAGTTTACATTGAAAATACCATTCTATATGATTGTCTGCTGTTAACATGTGTGTGCTTACTATCTTTGATTACCATAAAAACAAAATGTAAAATTATAATTATCATAAATATTATTATAAAACAGTACAGTAATATTATGTTAACATTCTGGTATACAGTATTTTTTACCATAAATAAAATAATTACATGTATGTATGGATTCAATAAGCGGACATGACACAATAACAAAATCGATTAAGTACTTGATAAAGTGAAGAAAACAAACACTCAAAAAACAACTACCCATACCTGTCAGTAAGAAAACTTATTCCATCCAAATTAATGCTTTTAATTTCTGGAAGCCTTGCAGCTAAAAATATAATGCCCGAATCCTGAAAGAACATGCAGTGTGAGAAATTCAGATGAGTAAGCTTTTTGCATCTCACTAAATACCTCACAGTCTTGTCCTGTTCTAGTTTGTCACATCCCTCAATATTAATTTTCCTTAGTTCTGGACAGTTTTCAGTTAAACATTTCAAAATAACACCCGTGATATCACAAAATCCAAAATCGATCTCCTGAATCCCTGGACAGCATTCAGTAATGATGGCAACCTCTGCATGTGTCACATTTACTCTACCACTAACAATGAGTTTTTTTAATAAAGGTGTACGCTTTAACACCCATAACAGATTCAAACTTGAAAGGTGCGGATAAGAGCTAAAATCAAGACATTTCCAAAGGCTATTGTCTAATGAGATTTGCCGCCACTTGCGACAAACCGGTGCTACATTCAGACAGAGTTCTTTGGTGGTTAAGAATGAGAATATCTTAATAATGAGTTCATCAGGTAAATCATGAAAAACACTTTCTTCACAGCCAGATTTCGACAATAGTTTATCAACATTTGTATATGGCAGAAATTCGTAAGTTTTCTGATTTCTAGTAACCCAATGTTCTCCAACATGTTCAGGATTCACACTAGTATTCATCCTAAAGTCATCTTTATCGTTTGAACAAGTAATCTCATTTCGGACAACAGGCTCATCTGGCAAAATTATCTCTTCTACATCATCAGCCACACTTTCTAAATCATATGATGTGACAAGTTTCACTCTTTCCTCTGTGCCGTCATGCCGTAAGCAAAATGATTTAGCAACATCCTGATTGATTGTGTCCAAATTGCAATCACCTGTAGCTACATGTACAGAAGCATTTTGTTTAAAACTAGAACAATGCGACCCTACTAAATCATCAACATGATCTTTTTCAACATTAACCATTCTTTCATTTATATCTACCTCTGCTGACACTTGACAATTATCAGGGTCTTCTTCATTTGTATTCTTTTTGGTGTTATCAACAACATGACTGTCATGTCTGCCGAAATCTTCAGAACCCTCGATATCATCAATATTTTTGTTTTCTATGCAAATACCATTGTGCTCAATATTTACACCATTTATTCTGACAACATTTTCTGCATCGCAACTTCTTAAAGTTTCAGAATCTGCTGCCTCCATGGCTTCAAAAACATTGACTTAATCAATTATGTAACAGATTCATCTTGTTCTGAAAACAGAAAAAATACAAGCATTTAGATTAAATCTGAAACAAAAGGCTAAGGTGCCACTGTACCACTTAAGAATTCCTAGTTTGATATGTGCAAAATATAAATACCCCTTAAGTCACTCAAGTTCATGCACGCTTGGCATGGTAAAATACTGATTGAATTTTGTCATCAGAAAATTTTACAAGGTGACTGACCTATTAGTCATGACTTTTCCATCTTGGCAATTGTCTTTGATGTTACCAGGAAAAATATAAATATGGCTCTGATGATACAAAAAGGCAAATTTTTGCTCGAGATATGGATATCATGGGGCAACAGATGAAGTGTTTACCATGTATGTTAATCTTTCAAAGACATTTCATAGTAAAGTTTTCTCATGTTTTTCTTTACAAATACAGTTCAATCTTAAAGATACAAAGTATACACAATCCTCAACAATCATCTGATTCATCAGATCATTTATGATATTATTTTATTTGTTTAGACGATTACTGGAGGTTACGTACCACGGAGGATACGTACCAGGAGGTTACGTACCATTTTTGGAGGTTACGTACCACTTATATATTTTGGAGGATACGTACCATATATATAATCACATCTGACCTACCATTTGTTCCTAACATAGACAACATAACGAGGGCAACTAACTTATTTCGTCGGAAAATGCGCCCATCTGAACCAAAGGAAGATGATTTGTCGTTTACGGTATTATATATCATCATTTTTGTATTGGAATGGAATCTTATTGAGTTATGATATATTTTTACATAATATATTTATGTATATATTAATGTCAACTTTATATACTTTCAGTTGTCATGTGACTTCATCAAAGAGGATGAGTTCCTCGTTGATGATATTCGTGTGGGAGAGGAACGCCATATGATGTTTGCGACGGCAGCCCAGCTAAGCCACCTTCAGACTGCAAGGCGGTGGTTTATAGACGGAACTTTTAAAGTGGTACGACGACCATTTTATCAGTTGATGTCTGTTCATGCTTTTGTAAAGAATGGTGAACATGTAAAACAAGTACCTCTTGTTTTTGTATTGATGTCAAGGAGAAGGAAGGAAGGCTACGTTGAGGTACGTTTCTTCAATTGAAATGAGATGAATTGAGAATTATATTTCATGTGATAGAATTCTAACGATTTTTTTTTATTTTTCAGGTTTTTTCACGACTGAAGGAGAAACTTGGAGATCCGATGGTAGAGTGGTTTATGCTGGACTATGAAGCAGGTAAATAGCATCTCTATTTTGTTTTTTGAAATGATTGAATTTAATGTGTAACATGTATACATCCACTTATTCTTGCTAATTACTCTTTTTCAACTGCGTGGCAGGCTATCAGACAGACTTTCCCAAACACCATCGTCAAGGGGTGTGTTTTACACTGGCTCCAAAGGGTGTATAGAAAGGTCATTCAGCTTGGACTTGCCACCGCATACTCTGATAAGAGGGACAAGTTCCTTTTTATTAGAAAGCTGATGGCCCTTCCATACCTTCCTGCGGAGCACGTGAGACCCACCTTCATTGAGTTGGAGTCTCAAGCTGAAGAGTCCAGATGCGTTCCCATCATAGATTTGACAACATACATCCGAGATACATGGATCGACGGCAGACTTATGGTCTTGTTTATTTCAGTATATTATTATTATTCAGTGCGGATAAATAAAACTCAAAAAGTATTTTTAAAAATACTTGTTAATTGTAACATAATTATTGTTATTTTCATTTTATGCACAGTTCGGTTAACGTGTAAATAAAACTTGTAAATGTTTAAATATGTAACGCTTGTTTTTTTCCAAGGTAAAGTAATTTTGTCCGGTATAATAACATGCATATGAAATATTATTATTGCTATTGATTATTTTGTTTATTTCAGTTGATTTCAGTGTAACGCGTATAAATAAAAAAATAATACTATAAATGAAAAGTGTTTTTTTTTATATTTACCGTGGTTTGTTTCATTGTACTGTTCATTTCAGTTTAGTGCGTGTAATTATATTAGTGTTATTAATTATTTTCATCGTTTGTTCGTTTCAGTTTTGTGTTGTAAATAAAACTTGTTTATTATCGTTAATTGGTTTGTTGTTTATTCTTTTATATTCATACATATTTAATCTCATTACAAAATTAATACAATTAATGCGCGAATTTGAACAATAAACCTGATAGTTTCACACCTTATCCCTTATTATCACTTTATTATATATTTCTATAGTGGTACGTAACCTCCAAAAATGGTACATTTATGCAGTGGTACGTAACCTCCATGGTACGTAACCTCCAAATTCCTGTTTAGACAGTAACTGCCTTTACAGTTGTATTTCTTTAATATATCCAGTATAAAAATACTTATTCTAGTTACTCTAATGTTAAGCAGAAAATTTGGTAAGATTTACATTTCTTTGGAAGTTTTAATGGTAAGTTTAACATTTACTTAAATAGGACACGACTTAATTCAATTATATCCGAAATTGCCATTGTCCGAACTCAAGGCTTCTTTGTACAACTATCGATTAAACTCAGCTTTAATCGTATCTTCAAATCAGGTTTGTGATAAAATTTATGTTAAACATAACTATTATGAATTTGATAATACTAAATGTTAATTATACCTTATTTCTTGTCGAACAATGAAATAAAATAAAATACAATATTATTTTATCAGTATCAACAGACGCTTTTTTCCAATAGAAAAAAAGAACATAAAAGTTTTTTAAACACCAAAAAGACAATAAAAAATAACGCAACTGACACAAAAAGCATATTTGAATTCTTAGTCAAATTTTGAGTTCATTTTTATAACAGTAACACACGGACGGTAGCTTGCAATTACCATTAGAGTCTACAGTAAACGTTAAATCCAAAGTCCATGAAGTCCGTTGCTTACCAGACGTCAAACTCCTCACAGTGTTTACCTCCCTTGGCAGAATTGTAATCACTGCCTTCACAGACGTCAAATGATGATGACAGTCACATGACGTAACGTCGAAATTCAAATGTAAATATCGACCGTTACATAGAAAATCTAACGTCATTTTTCTCTTTCTGTTTTATTTTTAACTTTTTGTACCTACGTCCGTTATATTTTATCAAAAAATTAATATGAAAAAGGCAAAGCCTCAAAGCGAGCTCGATGTACTTTTTACGTGAAATAGTATGAAACAATCTCAAATGCAGTGACGAGACGGAGTGCGTGTGACGTCACACGTACTGTGTTAAATATGACCCCGTCCCTGTCGTGAAAGGAATAACGAGTTTTGAAAACGTTGATAAAACTTTGTTTGTTTTATTTCACTCTATAATTTTTCAAGCGAAATAAAGTTTATTTTAAGTGAAATAAATGTAAAACTTTAAACGTTTGCGACATTAAAATAGCGTACTTGATTTGTTTGTTTTGCACGTGCTGTTTGGCGCTACATTGTGACGTCACGTAAACAATACTTTAAACGTCTGTACAGCGTTAACGACTGAATAAAAGATATTGGTGTTCGGATTCATTTTCTTAGTTAGACCATTTTCTTTCATTCTAGATAATTTTTACAACAAAATTCGACAAAAAATTGTTTTTATTTATCAGATTTCAAACAAAATGGCGCTTTCGATTTTCATTTTTTATACACAGCTTCCGTTATTCTGGTTCCCTGTCCAATTATGGTTCCCATAGACGTGCGCAGGTGACCAGTCTACACATCCGTTTTCAGTCAGAATTCCTCAGTTTTTACCGTTATCTTTAAATTCGAAAGGTTGCGATGTGTCCAATTTGGTACTTTGGACGAAAGTTTTCAAAACCATCACTTAGCAGGTACTCGCGTTACCGTAAAGCTCGCTTTGCGAGCAGGCCCTTCGGGCCAGCTCGTCGAGCTCGCTATCAAAAGTATACAAAATAATGAAAAATAAATTAAAAAGCTAAAAAATATAGATCTAAATATCAAAATATTGATATTTCAATGTTTGTGATGGCAGAGATTTCTGTACTGATAAGGGGAGATCACTGCGTAGGAGATTGACCAGACGTTAGTCAGATACCAGCTTGAATATGGTTCCGAACAAAGGGACTCGGCACGTTGGGGTGATGAATACAAAAGTAAAAACTAATAAAAAAAATCACCACATATGTATATTATATAGACTATAATATGAAATTAGGCAAAGCCTATGAACGGGGAAGTCGTTAAAAAATTCCTTTCATTCTTTCCGTTTTAAAATTGTCATTCGGTATTACATGCACCGCTTCCGTTTTCACTCGGAACACTCGACGTTTATTATTTATCCGAAAAGTTGAGATTTGTTCCGTTATCGGAATACCCCGCCTTTTATCATTGAGTTACATTGTAAATGGCGGCGCTCGACTAGAACTGACACTGAAAATTTCATTGATAGGTATAGAATTCTAAATATTTTTTAATTGTTTTTTATTTGATTTTATTTTAAATATACACGTGTAGTCTATAGCCGGGCAAGCCAAAGCCCGGACCCGCTTCGCGGGCCCGGTCTTTGACTTCCCCGTATTATACATATGAGGTGATTTTTTATTAGTTTTACTTTTGTATCCTATCACCCCAACGTGCCGAGTCCCCTTGGTTCCGAAGTATGGTCTCTCCAAACCAAAGTACAAACAGACAAAATTGAAAATGTCTAAGGAAGAGCAGCGCAATGGATCAAGCTAGATTATTGTCAGACATCTAGCGTCACGAACATGCTTCACTCACTTAAGCTACGAAGACTGGAACTCATACGTTCAGATGCTAGGTTATATTCACCATGGCCTGGTTACTACCCCCATAGAAGAATATGTCACACCCCTCTCCTGAACATCAGACATCTCTGTATGATATGGGCTATAGCATCTTCAGACTATTATAAATTCTCCTTCCTTCCTAGGACTGTATACCACTGGAACCACCTACCCCCTGCAGTTGCCCTACTCCCTACCCCAGAGCAGTTCAGTGAAGCCATAGATTGAATTTACAATTAACATGTCTCGCCTTAGTTTTTTTCTAGCCCCATCCCGTTTTTAATATTTTTATTATTCTTTTTTATACTCTTCTATTAAACAAATCTTTTTAAATTTCTTGCGATTTAACGCGTAGAGATGTCTACGTCCCCGCGAGGAATCTGATATTATGAAAGTTAGATAAATGTACAGGATTAGTCAAACGGAGCTTCAAGGGAGACAGACATTTAAAATTTTTGGTTCTCAAATGAAACAAAGGGTACATGTAAATAAGTTCATTGATAGTTCATTATTGATCAACTAGAAAATAATCTCTTTTTTATAGCCATTTGATATGATATTTCTTTTATTAAATTATTCTGTTTTGATGTGCGAAAATGTTCTAATGTTTTGAACAACTAAATTATATTGATTAAGATATAAGCTTAGTCTTATGAGTCTTATTTAGTCTTAGTTTGCCTTCTTGGTGCCCTGCTGTAGAGGCGGGATTGTGTCGGGAGCTGCGTCCTGTAAACGTTGCCTTTGCTTTCTTGATCTCTGTTCTCATTTTTTTTATGATTTAAGGCTAAAATATAAGTATCGACTAACATATACATGTCGCTTTGTTTCTACATATATATATTTTTATAAATAATATCATAATAAGCTTATATATATCCATTACACTTTCTTTATTTTGATACATGAGCACACATTATATATATGAAACAACGCCACGTACTGATTCTTGAGTATTTAACATTTTGTTTCTTCTGATTAATAAAAATAACCATCGTCCGGTTAGCGACTTTGATAGAGCGTTGGACTATGAATCGGGCGACCGAGGTTCCATTCCTGTGACAGTATAGGGAATTACGTGATTTTTATGGTTACGCTCACTGACAATATGGCGTGTTAAACCCATCGTTTCGCATGTGTTTTTCAGATATTTCTTATTTTTTTTTACATCTCTTATACTTAGATACAAAACCTGTTGCAGCCTACGCGTAATAAAGAACTGATGTCGCCTTTATACGAAAACATGTGCTAATTGTGCTTAGTTTTCACAAGAACTAAAAAATTCAACCGACAGTTTCTATTTGGCCATTTGGACAACAATTATGTGGGTAACATTCAAGCAAATTTTGTTATTTTAAAGTTAACAAATTCATGAAACAATGAGATAGCCTATAGAGAAGAGTCATCGAATTTCTTAATTCGAAAATGAAATTATTAGGCATGGTCGTTTTCCTTTGCAGAAAGAGAGAGAGAAAATGATTTGGATAATGGACATGTGTTTTTGTTTTGCTTATAATTCCCACGTAATATATTATGGTCAGGCAATATCTTTGCAAGTTATAGTTTAAATATTGATTTATTCAAATCGAAATCAACCTTTCTTCACAATAGGTATTTATGTAAGCACAAGGGATATAAATAGAAATACCTGAAAAACGCATGTGAACCGGTGAGTTTAGGCCTCCATATATTGTCAGTGTTCATCTCAATTAATCCTTTCTTACGGTCATTTGGGTTCAGATTGGCGTACGGGGGTGAACGGAAAGAAATACTAAATAAAAAAAAACAACAACAAAATGAAAGAACCACCCAACTATCAACCAACGAATGAATGAACCAACAAACAAATGAATAGACGGACACATCGACTCACACCAATCAACTAACTAACGAATGTAGAAATGAACTAGTCAACCAACAAATTAATCATACCCATTCCACCAACTAAAATCAACATCAACAACAAAACATCTTTTTTTCTCGCACCATCACGCTAGGGGGTCATACGGCAACATTCCAATTGAACTGGGGGGGGGGGATAAGGTGCCCCTCAGTGCATTATTTTTAAACACTAACAGGCACCTGAGTAGAACCACCAAAGTTCTATACGTACGCTAGCTTTGAATTCTTCAACAGAAGCAACAAATAAACAAATATTGATACTTACAAAAATGCCATAAATTAGGCACGTTAGAAGGATTGCATATAAATTATGTGTACCCAGTAGGAATATGGAAAATCATTATAAAAACAAATTATAAACAAAGAGAAGATCGAATTTATTCACGATATGAAAAGAATAACAAACAATATATCTTTTTTTTTGCATAACATTGAGATTATTATGCAAATCGTTGAATCTGATATTCCAATAAGTGTCTTTCAGTCAGGCGTTCCGTCGTATTAACCATAGCCTCGTATCAACTAGTTGACGTTATGAATTAATTTGGAATTTGCTTTCACAGAATGTAATCGTAAAATATTTTATGTTTATAAACCATTGCTCGAAGCGAGACCGATACTGCGGAAAATAATCAAGGTAAGTCATTTTGACTGTTGTTAGATAGCAAAAAAAGGTATAATACAGGATTCGAGTTTAAATTATACATGTATAGGAAAAAATTAATGCGCGCAGGTCACATAATGCTAAAAATAAAACTGATTTCAATAAATATTTTTGAAAAAAGAAGGCTAAATATGCTTGTATGAATGTTTTTCTCACTATTTCGCATCGTTTTAAAAAGATGAAATAGGAGAAAAATCAGCATAGCACTATAGGTTTAAAATAATCAAGTAAAGGTTAAACAATACTCGTGTTTTTTATTATTAAACTATAAAATTGCGTATAATCTGGTGAATGATAAGTATTTCAGTAACCCTGATATCAGAGAAAAAATTTAATTTTATAAAAATGACATGAAGATGTCTTATATATGTACTGGTACATGCATATCAG